CATTCTTAACTGCTGAGCCACCTCTCTAGCACCCATCTTTTTATTAAAAATATGTAATTCAGCCAGGTGTGATGACGCACACACCTTTAATCCCAGCTCTTGGGAGGCAGAGGCAAGTGGATTTCTGTGAATTCAAGGCCAGCCTGGTCTACATAACAAGTTCCAGGCCAGCTGGGGCAACAGGGAAGACCCTGTCTCAAAAAGAGAAAACAAAACAACAAATTTAAAAAAAAGTAATTGTACTTTCATACTTTGACCAGCTGATTATTTTGTCCTTCAGAGGATACTTGACAATGCCTGATACATTTTTGATTGTCACAACTGGATGAAGTACTAATGTTATGTAGTGGATAGAGGCCAAATGTGCTGCTAAATGACTATGCTGGGCCCCTTGAGCATTGTTCTGTCTTCCCAACAGAATTACCTGGCTTGATTGCATGGAGTTATTTCTTTCCCATCATCTACCAGGTAGTACTCCTTTGATAACATATGTCATATTTACTTTATCTGTTACCCATTATTGATGTACATTTACATTGTTCCAATTCTTAGCTACGACAAAGAGTGCGACAAAACCATCCTTACTAGTCTCTCTGTCTCTGTCTCTGTCTCTGTCTCTGTCTCTCTCTCTCTCTCTCTCTCTCTCTCTCTCTGTGTACAGGAATTCTGGTAGCTACACTCATTCTTCTAGAAAATATTTCCAATTATGCTCTAGAGTGGCTCAACCCTTGACTGTCACATCATTGCTTGGGATTCCATTTCTATTTCTATGTATCTTGCCAACACTTGGTATTATTTAAGTTTTAAATTTTGGGAGCTGGAGAGATGGCTCAGCAGTTAAGAGCACTTCCCATTCTTGCAGAGGACCTGAGTTGGATTCCCAGCATGCACATTAAGCAGCTCACAACCACCTGTAACTCCCGTTCCAGGTGGCCATAAACCCTCTTCTGACCCCCTTCGACACCCATGCATATGTGGCATGCACTCACACAGATACAGACAGAGACACATACACACACACAGATAAACAAAAATTAAAATAAATATTTGAATAAAAGCATTTAATTTTTTAAAACCAATTTAGAAAGTTTAAAGTAGCTAATTTAAAAACAATTTCATGGGTCTGGAGAGATGGCTCAGCGGTTCGATTAAGAGCACTGACTGCTCTTGCAGAGGACCCGGATTTGGTTCCCAGCACCCACTTGGCAGCTAACAAACATCCATAACTCCAGTTCTAGGGGATCAGACACCCTCTTCTGGCCTCTGTAGGCATTGTACACACATGGCGCACTTACATGCATGCAGGCAAAACATTCACATAAATAAACAAATGAATAAATGAATGAACGAACGAATGAATGAATAGATAAACCACACAAAAAGTTTGAAAACATGATTTTATACATTCGGATTATCAGTGGGGTCACAAAACATAAATTATTCACAACTCAATACATGCTACATAAAAAGGCAACATTTTCTTATTCTTCACCTACCTAAAGTGAAAATACTTGTTTTTTTTAGCCAAGCATTCCCCACTTCATTTTGGTCATATTCATGTCTTTGTTACTTATTATGAAGCCACACATTTTGGAAGACTGAGCTTGGTGGTTTCTTGCCAGTAGAGGTCAGAGTTGCTTCATGGTTCTACACCAGTGTGACGTTTAAGTCTGTTTTTGGCTTCCTACCCCAGTGATTATATTGGAATGCCTGGAGACATTGTTGGTGGTCAGAACTGTGGGCATGCTGCTGTTGTGTACTGCTGGGAGGACAGGGATGCCCTTTCAGCACTTTAAGGCACAGGATTACTCCCAACCACAAAGCATAACCTGTCCCAAGCCTCCATAGTGCCAGTTACAGAAAGAAATGGTAATCTCAAAAAATAAATAAAAATAAAATGAAAAGATGACAAACTTAAGAAAAATCAAACTCTGTTACTCTGTGAAGTAAGAAGAAACTTTTAATTACAGAGTGGGTACATTGGGAGTCTCCTTCCAGGCAGAAGGCAGTCGTGAATAGACAGGAGAAAGGCCAAGGTTTTGATGCCAGCAAGGTCTCTTCAGTGTTTGTAAGGCATGGGAGGGTGGCAGGCCTGCCAACCCAAGATGTGGGAAAAGGTCAGCAAGGCCTGGGGGCTTTGAGTGTGAGGAGGCAGGGCCCTGACGCTCTTAGGAGCCAATGAGGCCAGCAGGCTGGGTGCGCTGAGGGGCCAGTGGACCCCCAGGAAGGGGAAGAAGGCCCCAAGCCCCTGGCAGCACTGCAGCTGCTCCCAGGTGTGCAGCAGAGCCTCTGAGGAGAAGATATTCTGGAAGTGCAGCAGGCTGGGACAGCTGAGGGAAGGCTGGACCACAGATCTCAGGCCAGTGTTCTTCTCACAGTGTTGGATGCCCTGGAGCAGGCACTTCTGTTCAGAGGCCCCAGCCTGGGCACAAAGGACCGGGTGGCCATTCCATTTCTGCTGACCAGCTTGAAGGCAGATGGCCTGGTGTGGGAGCTCTGCTTCCTTCTATAGGTCAAACATGACCGGGCCTCAGGTGAAGCCACAGGAATAGCTTCCGGAGACTGTGACTTGGAGCCAGAGGTATCACTCCCACAGGGCTGTGGCAAAGTTGAGTCAGGGCTGTACTGGAATGTCTTGGGAAAAGAACCTCAAATCCTGGATCCTATTCGCAGAGGGCCTAGCTTGAGAGCTGGCTGCTTTCTGGCAAAGTGCCACAGGAACATCCTTTGCCCTCCTGGGTACGCGTTCGGGTGCCTGAGCAGGTACCCACTCAGATGTCTGTGGACCTGGCCTGCGAAGTGTACCGGAGTGATAGATAGTTGAGCTCAGGGCATGAGCAAAACATGTGGGACACTAAGAAACCCCTGCGTACCTGGCCACCACAGACATGTTGTGGTTATGAAATACAGTAGCAACCCTGGGAACAGCATGCTGCTTTGATGACAAAGAGCACAGACAACCATTTGCTTTCTAGACTGGCACCGGCCTGGCAACACCATCACATGGTATAGTGGCAGCTGTGGGAGCCCCCTGCTCTCTGAATGGCAAGGGCCTATTGTGATCCTCTGCTCTTAGTTCTTCATCAGCCAGGTCCACGCCTGCTGGCACAGCAGCAGCCGCTGAGACCAATACTGCATGGGTGACAAAGAAAACTCATCCCCTGTGGTTCCCATAGCTGGTCCCAGATACTTAGCTCTGGGCAAAGGACCTACCATCCATTTCTGCTTTTGTAACTGACACCGAAAGGAAGAAAAGAAAAGAAAAGACGTTTTACAGAAAGCTACCAACAAAATGACTACTAGCATCCATTATTATGGGCTCAGATGTTCTTGTAAGGACAAGCAAAGTATCTGTTCTTTTCAGTAAAGGTGGTTGATGTGTGTTTCATTCTTGTAGAATGTATGTTCATGCCACAACATTCATAGTTTTGTAATTTGCCGCAGCCTTTCTCCTCCTCCTCCTCCTCCTCCTCCTCCTCC